CAACTTCTGGTCTCTTTTCCCTTCAGTCTGTTCTGCCTTATGCTGTGAGAAGTATCTTCCAGGAACAATTATCTTACCATGTCTTTGACGTGTTGGAAGTCTAGACTCTTCCCTCACTTCCCCTTAACATTATCTGATCAAACTTTTCTGCCCAGGTTTTCCAAGGGAAGTGCTTAGTTCTGGTCATCTAATTGCTGCTTGCTTCTCTTTCTCTATAGCTGGAGTGCCTTTCTCCTTGTCTGTGCCAGTCCACAGCTCTCACACCTCATGTCACACAATCTACCAGAAGTCTATATGGTGGTTTCTCTCTCCTTTCCCTAAATTCTAATAGCAACATTCATTCATTTATTCATCATGTACTGATGAGCTACAATGTGTGAGGCATTCTAGGCAAACAGTGCTGATTAAAACTATTATGATCTTTGCTTCTCAATGGAGCATTATATGCCATAATGACATGGTGCCTCATTATTTTTCATATAGATGAATTAATCTTTCAGTTGGCTTGGAAATTTCTTAATGGCAGGCATTCTCATGTTATGTAGTCTCACCAATGTCTGTCAGAGTAGGGCAGAGGGAGGATGCCATTGCCTGGATAGACATCCTCAAGGTCCACCCTGTAAACAGGAAGTAAAATCACTGCATTTGGATTTTCTGTAGGAATTCTATCATGCAAAACTGCCTTGGTGAGACTAAAGAACCTAACACTCAACTCAAAAGAATTCATATGTAAATCATCCCTTTTATTGACTGGGCCTTGTCTTGGTGATTTTTCAGAAAAATTTTTGGTAAAATACATAGTAATTCTACATTCCTTATAGTAGTAACTGCCTCAAACATTGGAGATCTAACACAAAAGGCCTCCATTCTTTAATGAAAACAGCCAGAAGGATGGAGAAAAATTGTCTCAGTAGTTACTGTAAGAATTGTGATTCCTTAAAGATTATTGTAACAGTAGAAAAGTAAATAACAAAAGAAACCCACCCCTTACATAAGGAAGTTTTAGTTATTAAATAATTAGGAAAAGATAAACACTGACCACAAACACTGCCTCAAAGTAGAATTATAATTATAAAAGTTGTTTCTGGGTTGGGAAAATTATGAACCAGATTTTAGTCAAGTAAGGGATACATTTCTTTGCCAAAATTCAAAATAAAAGGTGGCAGTATTACATAAAATTTGCCAAATTTGCCATTTCACTGTCAACAGAAACTTTTTCCTTCCTCAGCAGTTTAAAGTCTGCAACCCTGTAAATCCCTAGAAAGGCTGACAGGGCTGCTCCAGATTCCTGCATTTCAATTTCAAACTGATGGTTCTCATGAGGTTCCACTTTGAAGAAAGCCACCTAGAGCCTTTCAATCTGGGATCATTTCTCTAACCAATACTTTTTTTGCCAAAGCTGAAGTTTTTAACCTGGGGCCAATGCATCCCCCAAGGGGACCAGGGATAAAATTCAGAGGTTCATGAATTTTGATGAAGAAAAAAAATCTACATTTTCACTAAGCTTTAACTGAAATGTGGGTAAGGATTCAGAGTAGTTAATAGCAAATCCTTGGGACTCTTTCAACCACATAAATCACAAATATTTTCTTATCATAAATATTTTCTTTTTGTACTTATTAAAAGTATTTCAAAATGTTTTCAGCACTCATCACTACTTCAAAATTATGGTAGTTGTTAGAAGTGTACTAGCTCATACATTATTTCATTCATTTGGTTTTAAAAATATTTTGATAATGACTTTTGATATGATTGGCTGCTTTTGTAATCTTATGTACTGTATTTTTCGGACTATAAGATTCAATTTTTTAGCACATTTTTTGCTTCAAATTTTTTTCCCTCATTTTCTTCCTCTAAAACCTAGGTGCGTCTGGGGTCTGCACCATAACACACACCTAGGTTTTAAAGGAGGAAAATAGGGGAAAAAATTTTGAAGCAAAAAATGTGGTAAAAATACTGTGTCTTATAGTCTGAAAAATATGGTATTTTATTTTATGTATTACTATCAGTATGCTGACAAAAGGCCTCTATAGATCTATATGGTGTCTGACACACAAAATGTTGGGAACTCCTAGCTCAATTCCCATTTTTGGTATTTGATAACTGATCACATGGATTTTAAGAAGTTGAACCATAGGCTTAGACCAGATTTCAGTAGATTTGAGTATGCATGATTTTGTAAGAAATAGTTTCGTCACTATAGCTAAAGAAAGATTAATTGATTACAAGCTGAAAAATGGGATGAGAAGAACAGTCTGCAAATGAGTGGGCAACACAGGAGAGGAATAAAAACTCCATCAAACTATCAGTCTCACTGGAGTTGAAACTGACTAAATGTGGCATTACCATCATGACCAAAATGAGGGTGTAGATGCGATGTGAGGTTCCTTAAACTCTTAGAATCAGTTTTATGCACCACTCTTATCAGATGAGTATCTATTCCATTAAGTGGAAGAAGATAGTACAAGTTTCATAAGAACAATTAATAGGTTCTACATGAAGTAGTAGCAATAATAATAATATATATATATTTTTTTAAAGCCTCCACCATATCCCTGTTGTTTTTAATCATTAAAAATCAGCCTCAGTATAATATTATTACATCTATGTTCTCAGCTAATGGTCACATTCCTAAGCAAAAAGAGCAGACAGGATTACATCCATGTTACAGATGAGAAAAACTGAGCTTCGGTAAAGCTGGAGGCCCACAGTTGGTCAGGGTTAAAAAAAAAACAAAGACAACATTGTAGTCTCCACTTAACAAATGCAGAAACAATCTCTGAGAGGTTAGGGAAGTTGGAGTACGAGTCAAGGCTGGGATTTGAATTCAATTTGGTCAGATTCCAAAGTCTTGTGTATTTTCCATTGTGACCAGCTGCCTGCTTCACTCACTACTCCTTTTTCCAATTTAGAGAGCTAAAGGGTTGTTAGAAATGATATCCATCACCCCGCCCCCATCCCCAGAAACTGTACTTTACTAGGTTGAATCATGAGTATACTCCAGGGAGAGGAAAGTAAAGCATTTCCAAAACTTTGGCATAGCTCTTAGTTAACTAAAGGGATCCAGGAGAGGTGGGTTGTGTCTTTGGGATGTTATGGCTGCTTTTTCCTTCACAGCCCTGCCCACCCAGCCACTGGGGAATCCAGAAGGCATCCCTGTCTGATCTGTTGAATCTCATAGACACAGCAATTACCAGAGAGCATCTGTGTTCTGAGCTAAATGATTCTTGATGGACTGGAAACCACTATGACAGGGGAACTCAAAAGTTAGAAAATTTTTAGTTTTAAGTACAGTTAATAAGCTTAGTAATTAATGTATGTAAAAAGCTATTGTTTCAGGAAGTGGGATGTACAACAGAACCCACCCTGACTCTAGGAGACCACAAGTAATTTGGCATTTGTACCCCAGGGCTGCAAGCCATCAAGTTGGTGTCTGAGGCGTTGTGCTCAGGGAGAGATACATCCTTACCTGGACTGCAGCTTTTATATGACTAACCTTTTCCCTGAGTTCCAAACCCCTTACCTACACTTTTATTCTTGTTTAAAAAAATGAAATATAAAAAGTTATTTTAGGGGACATAGCCTGCCATCTTCTCAGATCACTGGCCATCTGAATAAAGACCCCATACAGAGTCAATCCTTGTCTCTACTTCTTGTGCTGGCAGTTCAGGCCGCATGAACCCTGAAGCCCTGACTTTCCTGGCTTCAGTTGTATCATGTACATGTGTTTTTCAAGTTTTAGGAATAAATCTGATTAATGGTCAATGCTTGCATATTTTATTTCCCATTTATGTGAAGGTAAGCTTTATTATTCATTTGTGGACTTCAGCTGGATAGAGAGGCATCTCCTACTTTTGTTCTTTCTGCTTTCTCATTTGATGTTAAACTGTTGCAGATCACAGACCAAGAGCATGTTGTTAATTTCATTACAAGAGCAGGCAGTAGTGGGTGTTCTTGTACTTTTAAAAAATGCCCGGCTTAAGAGGGTTTGGAAAACTGTCCACAAGGAGTCCTTAAACTGTGAGCCCTTGCATAGTAGTAGTGGCTTATTCTAATTACCTTTCTTTTTTCTGGAAGCTCTCATTTTGGTCATGGTGGTAATGCCATATTTAATCGGTTTCAGCTCCAGTGAGATTGATTGTCTCTGGTGTAGTTTTTATCCCTCTCATTTGTTACCCACTTATTTGTAGGCTGTTGTTAACCCATTAAAATTTGTTGTTGTTGTTGACACTATTACAGATGTCCCCAATTTCCCACCTTTACCCCTTTCTACCCAGCCCCCCTTCACCACATTGTTGTCTATGTCCACGGGCTATGCATATATGCAAATATGTTCTTCTTAACTCATTTTTTAAGCTCTATGGGTTAGTCATCTTTAACTGTAGTTATGAAACAGTTACAAAATCATGCACATTCACATCTATTTTTTCAAACAATTTGCTGATCATGTGCATTTTAAGAGTCTGTTGTGTTCAACTTTGCCTCTTTTCTGCCCAAATCCTCACTCTCATGTAACAGTTAATCACCATTTAAATGTTTACAAAGGGTTTGTCTTTCTAGATAATTTGCACATTATTTTGGTGCTCCAAAGATAAATGCAAACTCTGTAACTTTGCTTTCAAACACAATCTGACTCTCAAACAATATGAATGCACAAATCTCCCTCCTCCCAAAGCTGTATCTCAATCAGCTGTCTTAAAAATCTAGGCATATCTTTATTTTCATTTGAAATGTCAATAGGCATTATTTGATATGCTACTCAATCTCCTTTACTTAACAGAAAGAGAATTAACAAGGTTCAACTATTGAATATTTGCAAGGAGAAAACTTAATTTACAGTTTTACTGCCCTTTGTCATAGTGGCTAAAGAAAGATGTGAGAAAACAACTATATTCATTTTTCTCCCTCTCCTCTCATGCTGTCTTTTCAGGCACTTCCACAATTTACAGAATCTTAGTTTGGCTTACTGCAGAAAGTTCACAGACAAAGGTTTACGGTACCTGAATTTAGGGAATGGATGCCACAAGCTCATCTATTTGGACCTTTCTGGCTGCACCCAGGTTTGTCTTTTTAGTCTTCTCTTTCCTGCAGCAGGCGAGGAAGTCCGGAGATACTAACGCTGTGCACAGACTACAGCACACTTCTCAGAGGTTTTAAATTACATAACCACAGCTGCTTAAATTTCCCCCAGGATCGCTACTATAGGCTCTTGGCTTCCGTCCACAGGAGTGTCACACCCACACAAAGGCAGAGCTGATTGGATGATGAAACGGACCACTTCTATGTAGATACTCTGAGCAGTTATAATACCAGAGTCCAAATCTCGAAACTTTGGAATTGCTACCAAGACACACAAAAAAGAAAAACCTTTTTGAGGGAGGATTTGCATGGAACTTTCTGAAATGTGAATTAGCTCCCACAGGGCTTTCAAAGAATAAACAATAGTAGGTAAAATGCCTCAAGAGTAAAAAAGAAAGCACAATAAAGATTGTAATTTTAAAAATTGCATTGTATCCTTAGGCTAAATAACATGCAGATTTGAGGCCTATATGGAGAAGTATTTAAGTTTGAAAAGCCAGATTAAGGAAATTTGGGCAGAAAATAGGGTGGAGTTGTGGGGGGAAGGACATGGAACTTTGGAATAAGTGCGGCCTCAACATAGTGTCTTCTGCTCCATTCTGGTAGGGTATGAATCATAATGCTTTTAACCTCTCTTCTTCCACCTCTCTGTGTGTTTTATTGATATTAGCATCATAGTATACCCATCATTCTCTGAGAACAATGCAATAGCACAGATGAAACTGGCTAGACTATTGATAATTACCATTTATTGAGTTGGTACTATTACTGAACAGGAGCCTGTCTCTGAGCAGGTCTGCCTATGGCCAGTTGTAGGGTGTGGGTCTTTAACTTCAAGTAGGAAAGATTTCACAACACAAATCCAGGTGACTATGAGGATGCATTTATTAAAGCTGGGGACAGTAAAGCAAGGAAGGGCTTAGCATAGAAGCAGCAACAGGAGAGTCTAGGTGGGGCTGCCTTAGGTCACTGGGAAGTCAGAGAAAAGGGAGACCTCAGGGTCATGGTCTCCTCTGATTGATCAGTGGCAGGGCAGGGGTCTTTAGTCATTGCAGTTGTTTCTGGCCATGCTTCACCTGGTTTTGCTACTTTTTGGAGCCTGGAGCTGAGGCCTAGTTGTTACCTCCAGGGAGGACAGGCCAGGGGAGGAAAGGTTACCTTGAGGGCGAGGTCCTTGTTTTCCCTGTTTTGCCTTCTGCCTCATTGACCACCTGCACTTGGCCTTAAATTGCTTGGCCAGTTCGTTCAGCTATCTGTCTCTGTTTTTCTGTTGCACTTGCCAAGGGATTTCCCTAGCTTCTTATTATCCTGTCTCATTACTATATGCCAGGCAGCATATTGAGTGCTCATACAGATCAGATTTACTCCTCATACAAAAGCTATGGAGTATGTATTTATGATTCCCATTTAAATATGAAGTGACCAATGCTCCCAAAGTTGCACAGCTGATAAAAGCACATAGGACTTGTTCAGTTATAAGCACCTATTGGTAGATATCTTGTTTTATGGTTACTAGGCAGTGAGAACAAAGGGGAAAGGAGGAAAGGATTCTAAGCTAGGTCCGGAAACAGCTAGAATTTACATATTTTTGATGTTCTAATGATCTGTAAACTTGTTGAACAACATCTACAATCACTCTTATGATTTACCATTCATCCCAGTTCATCTAAACTTCAGACAGGCTTTTTTTCTGAGTCTTGGCCCTTATCCTCTTTTTAAATAGATTTTTAAAAAAATCATCACCTGAGGATATGTCTGTATTAATTTTGGAGAGAAAGGAAGGGAAAGAAAGAGAGAAAAACAATCAACTTGCCACCTCCCGTGCACTTTGACCAGGAATCAAACCCACGACCCAGGCATGTGCCCTGACCAGGGACTGACTCGCAACTTCTCGGTGTACAGGACAATGCTCCAACCAGTGGAGCCACCGGCCCAGGGCCTAACCTTCTTTTTCTTGGAGCATTTATTTACTTTTTAAAATTTGTGGTTGCACAGTCTTTCTCTGTTCCTTTGAGATGTAAACCTCTTAAAAACCTTTTTGCCAGTTTCACAACCCAGGACAGTCTTTCTCAAGTACCTGGGAGCCAGGCTTTGAAATATAATCATCAAGGGAGATAACACTATCATCTCCCAGTTTCTAAGGGAAGATGGAGGCCTAGCTTTAGTATTGGTATGGATTAGTAAATACAGATGGCCTAATCATGGAGAAAGTATTTGCAAATTCAGGAGTAACTCTTTGTGCTTGACATATCCCATTGATCACTATTCCCCCTAAATGTACATCCTATGATACTTTCCACGGGCTCACCCTATGCTTAAAAACACTCTCCATAAGTGTGGCTTACCTTCTTGTTCTCAGTTTTTATGAGGTAATTATTGTAGCAACAACACACAAATACATATAGACATGTGTAAGGATATATATTCTTAGGTATAGAGAAGTGGATACTTAGATATAGAATTGCAATGCTATATTTAGAATCAAAGGACAGATCAAGAGCTTCCCAGACAAGAAAAAGCTAAAGAAATTCATTACCACCAAACCGGTTTTATGAGAAATATTAAGGGTCCTCTTTAAGCCAAAAAACAAATAAAAAAATCAAAATGTAAATAATAAAATGACAATAAATACATATCTACCAACAATTACTTTAAATGCAAATGGATTAAATACTCCACTCAAAAGACACATGGAGGCTGAATGGATAGCAAAACAAGACCCTTACACACACTGTCTGCAAGAGACTCACTTCAGATTGAAAGACACACACAGAGTGAAAGTAAAGGAATGGAAAAATGTATTTCATGAAAATGGAAACAAACAAAAAGCTGGGGTAGCAATACTTATAGCAAACAAAACAAACTTTAGAACAAAGGCTGTATAATAAGAGACAAAGAAGTAATTCCACTTCTGGGTATTTATCCAAAGAAACCCAAAACACTAATTTGAAAAGACATGCATCCATATGTTCACTGCATCATTATTTACAATAGCCAAGATATGGAAGCAACCTAAGTGTCCATCAACAAATTTATGGATAAAGAAGAAGTGGTGCATGTTTACAATGGAATCTGACTCAGCCATAAAAAAAGAATGAAATCATGTCATCTGCAACAACATGGATGGAACTAGAGGGTATTATGCTGAGTGAAATAAGTCACACAGAGAAAGACAAATGCCAGATGTGCCAGATGATTTCACTTGTATGTGGAATCTAAAAGACAAAATAAACAAATAGGCAGAACAGAAAAAATCCAAATAGAATAAATTGTCTCCATAACCATATATACTGGCATATAATGTAATTAGATACATATCACTGCACAAGCAAATTTGAAATGTCCTGAGGTTTTAGAGTTCATATATAAGAAACTTTATAAAGGTATTTCCAAATTTAACATTATAAAACTTCACATTATGATACTAAAGAGTTAAGCTGAAAGAAGATTTTCTGTACTATCAATTTCAAAGTTTTGATTAATCTTTCTAGAGAGGGAAGATAATTATCTTTTTAAAACATATCTAGAAAATATTATAGAATATCAAATTTTTATATAAAGAGGACATCAAATGGTATGTAGCTAAAAATGCAGGTAAGAGTATTGCAAAAGTGTATTAGTAAGTTAATTAATAAATGAAGATATACTTTCTTTAAAAAGTTGAAATGAGAAGTTTCAAATCAATGAAACTCTGGCTAAATATATATGCAAAACACACAGATATTGTCTGTCTTTAAATTTTGAACCAACATTTAAAATATCGGAGTTTTCACATAAAAATGTGGACTTCAAATTTCTATTAAAAAACTAGAACTAGCAAAATTGGGCCTGCGTTTGCTCACGGCATCAATGGGCTGGAACTGAGTCAGCTTCATCCCACTGAGATGGAGCCTGCTCCCCTGTTTGACACCCTCTCCTACACTCAGTAATGTCTACATGTGCACTGACACCTAGACTGCTACCACTTAATTGCACCACCTACCTGTCCTCAGCAGCTTTGGGGTTTGGTCTGTATCTGTAGAAAATAGACTTGTTTTCCTGATGGTCCTTTAATTTGTTAAGTCTCAAACCACAGAAAAAGTAGTATTTCACATCATTATGCAAAAACAGTGTTGGTTTATTTTGTCTATTTCTCTTCCATTTCCATTCGTTCAATTGATAATTCAAAAGGGATTTAACTCTAAGTGTCAGACACTGTTTCAGGCACTGGAAATCATGTCATTTCAAACTGAGCCCGTTTAGACCAACTGGGAGTAAAAATATGGGCTCATTATTAACCACACATATCTTTGAAATGGTTGCTGCTATAGCTGTAGAAAGAGTAGGTAAAAATAGATGTTACTGCTTCTGAGGGACAAGTCATTTGAGGATACTATGTCTACCTCCTCAGCTCTTGGTGTGAGAATAGTTTCACTCTTTCAGGCCTAGCTGCCTTGATATGACAGCACAAAAATGGTTTCAGAGAAGGAAAATTGACAATTCACAGATTTTTTCAGGTTCTCCCCTTGGAAACTGAAATCTATTTTTTCTTTTTTATCCTCATCCAAGGCCTTTTTTTTTCCATTGCTTTTAGAGAGAGAGGGAGGGAGAGAGAGAATCAGTAATGTGAGAGAGAAACATTGATTGGTTGCCTCCTGCATACACTCAGGCATGGTATCATTCACGCCTAGACTGGGAATCAAACCCGAAACCTAGGTATGTGCCCTGACCAGGAATTGAACCCATAACCTTTTGGTTATGGGACTATGTATGCCCCAACAAACTAAGCCACACTGGGCGTGGCTGTATTTTCTTTTTTTGTTGTTTTTAAGATTATTTATTTATTTATTTTAGAGAGAGGGGAAGGAAGAAGAAAGAGAGGGAGAAAAACATCCATGTGTGATTGCTTCTTGAGCACCCCCAACTGGGGATCTGGCCTGCAACCCAGGCATGTGTCCTGACTGGGAATCAAATTGGTGACCCTTTGGTTCATAGGCCAGCGCTCAACCACTGAGTCATACCAGCCAGGGCTGTATTTTCTTTTTATGCTGGAAATTTTGT